TAACACAGGTACGAATTTGAGGCTGAGCCGACCTAGGGGAGGCCTGCGAGCGGTTCAAATAATCATCACTGGTGTTAGCCGTGAGCGTGAATCGAACTCGGGTGGCTGGCTTCCTCGAGCAGCACAGCGCTAACCACTGCACCACCGCTCTCCAACACTCCCTCCTACCAACACTCGCGCACGCACACGCGACGCAGCCATCTCGGGTCGATTTTTTTTATTGACTCAAACCCCGCTCCGTAAGCTGGCGAGAACGTGCCCACAGCGCAGGCTTTCAAAGGTCCCACTCATTTACGGTTGCATTTGAGGCTGAGTCGATCTAAGGGATGCCCAGTACCGGTTCAGATAATCGCTGTCACTGGTGGTCAACCGTGAACCCGGGATGAACCGAGTTGGGTGGCGCAGCGCGCGAACTGCGGCGCCACCGCTCCCTCCCTCCCTCCCCGCGGCTATTTTAAGAATCTATGCGATGTATCATAACCTCGAGGGCTCAACGTTCACTGGGGTAACTGATCATACGGGTAGGGGGGGGGGCACGTGTCTACATGCACATCCCGTGGTATACAAGGCATGCCGTGTGACCTTGTAAGGGTTATTCGACCATACTTCACCATTCTGGTCATTGCAGTATGCCAATAATTGAGGAGAGGCGGGGGGGGTGAAAACAACAATTCTGCACTGCCCTCTGCTGTTCACAGTGCCTCCTGCTTTCTGCGCACGAAGTGGTCACCCATCCAAACATTAGCCAGGCTGGAGGCCTGCTTGGCTTCTGAGATCTGATGGGATCTGTTGGGATCTGATGGGATCTGTTGGGATCTGATGGGATCTGTTGGGATCTGATGGGATCTGTTGGGATCGGGTGCATTCCTAGTGATGAGCTTCACAGCACACGCCGATGAGAATGGGGGTTTGGGAATCCCCGCGGGGAGAGGAGGCGCTTCCATATCATCCTTATCTCACGATTGCCACCATAACTCTCCACGTGGAATGTTGTTTACAGTGACAGAGAGAGGGAGTATTTACAGCACAAATATCTGCCTCCCGTAGCCGTCGGCTCTCTGCTCTCCTCGGTCGACTCCATCCTGGCTGGCTCGCAGAAGACCGGTGGTCTCGACTGGGTGTCGCCGCCTTTATATAAACCGCCCTTCTCTGGCATTTGCCCAATCGCATACGGCCCATAAATTGCCAGATAAAGCAGACAATACGTCTCCTTTATATATACACGCGGCGTCCCTCGACGTAAAAATGGGAAAAATAGGTCGAAGTATTCTTGACACAATCTTGATTTGAAGCTTTCGTGACTGCACGGAATCCATACTCTTTGGTTCTTTCGGTAAAGTCACGTAGGTAGACAAATTATGAATAGATCACGACGTTTCGACCGTCTTCAGGTGACTTTACCGTGAGGACTAAAGAGTATTCTTAAAAAACAACCCATCGGCCCAAATGCCTCCCAGCAATTTTCTAACTTCAGCCGCATTGATTCAGCAGAGTGCAAACTCTGAACTGGCTGTTTCATCAGCAGTCAGGTTTGCTTGAATCTCGGACACATATTTTTTAAGGACCCCCCCACCATGCCTAGGTTCCAATTAATAATTACAATTACTGAACCAGGTGGGTCCAATGCCAATACCTCGCAAATTCGCCGCGAAGTTACGGTGACGTCCCCACGGCGCCCGTGCCAGGCCAGGTGCACTTTGAGGCCACGTGACGTGTCGAAGGCTCGCTGCTGGCAGGAGGTCTCGGGACAGACCCAGCAGGTGCCATGGGTTGGCTGAGATGAACGGTAGATGCACCACCAGCTGTCGCCCCTACTGTGCCAACTTGCTGTATTTTAACCCCCCCGGGGCGCTCCGCTCGTTGTTGTGAGCGTCGCTCCACTGCCCTCCGTTGTTGCTGGAGGGCGACTGCCTCCAATTGCCCAGCAGCAGCAGCATCCTTCACGAGCCTCCTCCACAGGGGCCGATCTTGGGAGGGGTCCACATCTCCACACTGTCCCCGTGGTCTCCCGTCAAACCAGTTTGTCCTGACTACGGCAGGCGCCCTGTCTGTCGTAGTACCTGACTAGTCTGAAAAACAAACACCGGCCCGTCGAAGGCTTCAAACACGAGCCAAACAGAGGCGAGCCCTGAAACAATGAGATAATTTAAACGCGCGTGCCTTTCTGCACAGAAGAAAAAAACTGCAAGAAAAAAAACAAACACAACCCAATTCTCTTTGAAGCAACCAAACCCGTCCATGCCATGGTGATGATGAATCCCCCACCACTGGCTCACGGCTGGCCAACACCAGTGCTGCTCTGGTATATCCCCCCCCCCCCATTTAATTCGTTGTACCACTGCTCCCATGCCACCCACTGCTACCCCCACTGAACTGACTTGAAGGCGTTTAACTAAATAAATAGGCGACGTGTCGCCTTCACAAGTCTGTCCCTTCACGTAAGAGCACATATACATATGTTTTTGTATTGCACAATCCATCAGCCGCCACAGCCTTCCGATTCGGGAGCGCATCATCATTTCAGCAGCATTGTTTCACGACGGGCGAAAAACGCCGGAACGGTTTCGACAGCGCAGCGTCTAAACCAGGGGTCGGGAACCTTTTTGACTGAGAGTGCCATAAAAGCCTAATATTTCTAAATATATTTCATTGAGAGCCATATAGTATTTTTAACGTATAATAAATTAAATATGTCTTACTTTTAATGCGACTTCTGGTGCTGCATGGTTTTGCTGATGGCCTTGTAGTCTGGTTCATACGTGGTGAGATTGAGCTTCATGCAGGCGTGACCCGTGAAATTTATCTTCAAAACTAATTTCTGTTTACTTTAAAATGACACAGTATTATTAAGCAATATTACAAGTATTTTAAAATCAGTTCCAAACTGATTTTTTTTTATTATTTTTTTCAACTCAAAATTGTCTGGGAGCCATATGCCGTCACTGGAAGAGCCATATATGGCTCGCGAGCCATAGGTTCCCGACCGCTGGTCTCAACAAATGAACCCACGTTGCCTCGCCATGCACCGCCACGCGAACAACTCCGCTCATCCTCGCGGATGTTGCTCTGCTGGCCATCGAACAAAAACGGCGGTCACCTTTCAGATGCGCTTCCGCGGCCGTCTGGAACGTTCTTCCGATGTTAGGCAGCAACTGGGAGCTTTGCACGTTTAAATCACCTACGTTGGAAACTCATTTCTTTGGGATTGTTTTTTGTGTTTCGTTTGTTGCCACCTTTCCCCCCGCACCTCCGATGAGTGCGGTTGGCTCCGTGCGGTGCGAAAGAAGTTCAACGTACCGTGCATACAATCGGCTCAGTAAGGCTTTGCTGGAGTCATTTTTTGTTTAACCGCAACCTCTCGTGTGTGTATTTTTGTACACATCAACACCATGTATTTGTTGTTGTTTTTCTTTCGACGAAGCAACCAGAGACGTCGGCTTTGAGCAAAGAGAGGAAATCGACGCATCGCTCTCGTTTATTTTCAACTCACGGTAAAAAAAAAGAAATCAACAACTAACGGCACGTTTAACAGGCGTCTACAAATATGTACACGGACACACACGCGCGCGTCATAAAATAAACATTCGACGACTAAATTGTGTTGTTGTTAAACTTTCACTATCGTTAATATTACTTACAATTCATATTAATTGGATGATGAGGTCAAGCTACGGCGGTTGTAACCTTTCAGATTCTGTACACTGATTGTGCTCTGCTTATGTAGGACTGACATACACACGCCTTGATATAACAGGTCGCGCCAATGGGAAGAGATCGGTCTATACAAATGCTCTTGACGCCAAAGTTCTCTATATCCTATGTGCAAAACGTATCCTTGCCTCTCTCTACACATATACACAGGATGTAACGAAATTATATAACACAGGGAGTGGTTTATATACAAAGCCTATAGCCGGTAACCATTTTTTGCCAGCGCTCCAATGCGATTGGGTTGGAACAATGAATGATAACTTAACCAAAATAGTGTTTAGCCCTCGTAAGATATGTGGGAAGATCAGAACGTTTTGAGAATTGCATATCGAGATGCCATACCCAAAGAAACACGCTACCCTGTCACGCCCGCTTGTCTGCCCACAACTGTCGGGGCATGTTCTATGTTAGCGAGCACCTATTAAGGCGAGCATGGCGCACGTGTGAAAAGGTGGTGTGACCAGCACCTCGCGAAGTTGTGAATATCGTAATGACATTGCAACTGGTTCCTCGCAGGCTGAGTCAACCTAGGGGAGGCCCGGACCAAGGTAAAGTAAACCAAACGCCACTTGCTTTGCTGCATCGTCGCCAGGAATTGAACTCGGGTTGCCAGGATTGTAGCGCAGTCCACAAACCACGATCGCATGGCCACCCTCGAATGTACACGGGCACACAAACGTGTGCTCATATTTTGATGCACATGCACACACACGTACTCTTTGGTTCTTTCGGTAAAGTCACGTAGTTGGAAATAAAATGAAATAAATCACGACGTTTCGATTGCAACACAAGCAATCTTCATCAGGTGTGACCACAGCAAGACAATTGATTGTCACACCTGATGAATCGAAACGTGATTTATTTTATCTTATTTCTACCCACGTGACTTTACCGAAAGAACCAAAGAGTTTAGACTCCTGCAGTGACGAAAGCTTCAAGTCAAGATACACACACGTCTTTGTTACGTGTTAATGTATTCAACACATTTCGATTTAAAGCTTTCGTGACTGCAGGGATTCATCTTCTTGGTTCTTTCGGTAAAGTCACGTAGAAGGGAAATAATAAAATAACAACGCAAGCAGCCGTCCTCAGGTAAAGAACAGGTCTGTCGGAAAGACAGCATCATTCAGACGCTGTCTTTCCGACAGACCTGTTCTTCTTCAGACCTGTTCTTCTTCAGATGTGAAGGTCTGAAGAACAGGTCTGTCGGAAAAATAGCGTCTGAATGACGCTGTCTTTTCGACAGACCTGTTCTTCACCTGAGGACGGCTGCTTGCGTTGTGGCCGAAACGTCGTGAGAATTATTTTATTATGTTTTATTTTTATTATTTTATTATTTCCCTTCTACGTGACTTTACCGAAAGAACCAAGAAGAGTTATTCAACATAATTACGATCTATCACTAGGCGTGTAACAGGTGACTTCCCGAAGCAAAGTGACTGTAAATGATGCGGGATCACGATGCAATTCAACGATGTGATATATTGTTTTCTTACTTTTACTGCCTCCTTTGTAACGTTTCTCCCTTTGTTACCCATTTTTAACGGCGCTTGGTCGGGCCCATAGGCTCAAGCGTGACATTGGCATACGATTTGAATTCATTGTAAATGTTCAGGTCTCGCGAGCACAGAGTTGACGAATTAATGCGAGCATAAGAATCCATAACGATCCACGAATCACTGCATTGTCACGCTTATTCGGCACGAATTGACTCATACCTGGGCGTGATTTCTGCGGAACCCTTACACAAAGAACATCCAATATGATTTGTTTAATGTCTATTGAGCTTTCCCTCGTGTTACTGGAATCACATCACGAGGCAACCATTCTCGTTTAGAACCCTCATAGTGTTGAGAAGGGCCTCGACACAGAGGCCTGCTAGCGCACCTTACGTATGTCCTGCAATTGGCGTCCGCGGCACGGCAAACCGACTTTGCAGCGTTTCGCAGGTGGATGACGCCAAATCAAGTGAAAGCACGGATGTGCTTTCATCTGGTCCAACACCACGTGAGACTAGGCTCTAAGAAAAGCTGTCTCTGGTGTGGACCAATCAAAGACAGTGCATACATTATCAGAGTTCTGTTTTTTGTTTGCATTCCGACCGCAGGTATTGTGGTCAATGCAAACATGACTCCTTGTAAAAAAGGTGTCAGTTTTGTTGCCAGATAAACGGGTAAAAAAGCAATTATCAGCACGGATGTAGCTCTGTCTTGCCCATTCTCCTCTTGACACTTCCCATTGCCTCGCCCCACCTCATGTCCTTCCGACAGGTGCGTTAAGGGCGATTATTGCGCTGCAGCGGTTTGGTCAACAGGTAAATTGCATATCTTGAAAAGAGGGGCGTTCTTTTGAGAGGATACGTGCGCCAAAGTAAATACGTATATATATTTTGTCATTTTGTACACAGTGTATTTGTACCAGTCTACATGCACGTAGACACGCACGCACGCACGTGAACACGCGCGCGCACACTCTCCCACACTCCCGGTAACATCTCTTGCGGACATCTCTACACCGCCATCGCACAACCGCTATCCACGAAAGATTCGAGGGGGTTTTTCGAACGCTCCGTCTCGCTATGTACATACGTGTTTTACAAACGTAGCTCTCAGAGCTGGGGTTAGACTACATTTGAGATTGTTTAAAAACCAAAAAATATATTCACACTCAAGAAAAGAGTCCCACGGCGCAGCTGAGGCCATACACTCGAGTTCGGCAAAACAAGTTCAACCTGGGCTGGCAAACCCGGAATGCGAACCCAGGTTAATTCCCCCAGGGGCGTGCACTCTCTCACCCGTTCTGGCTCACGCGGCTCCTCCCATGGTGGTTTAGAGCGCGCAACTCACAATCTTGGTTGGAGATGAACTCGGTCCGATGCGACCGACCAAGGTGAGCGAACGAAGTGCGACTATGTGAGCCGTCGCAAAGCGGTTGTCGTAAAGGTCCACCGAGTGCCTGCCATAGGAGGGTGGAATTTCCGCAACTGCCGCAGTGTTGTGAAGGGGAGATGATACGGATGTAGCGATAAACCCTTTCCACAATGAAATTGATTGTTCCGATTCAGGATCACGACGCGATTCGAGTTCACAGTGTAAATGTGAAGGTGCGTGAATCTATTTCCTCTGTCGCGGAATAGACTGGACATGTGAAAAATAGCTTCATAGCTCATCGGATTCCTCCAGGATAAATAAAGATTCTGATCCTGATGGACACAATGAACGTGTATGATGAATTGGAAAAAAATCGCTTATTACCCACGCTATTTGATGCCAGTATTGTGAGCGTAAAGATCCGTGAATCGTTATATCCGCTTCTAATTTAATCAGCAAACCACTTCGACTGTTTTTGCTTTTACTCATTGTGGAGTCAGATGCTCGTCCCGTGCTCTGACAGCTGGACTGGTGGAGGCAGCTGGAGGAGCCGATAGGTGGATGGGTCAGTGGGCGAGCGAACGCGAGCGAGACGCCCTGTTGTGTGGGGTTCACGATTCACCAACGTTGGTGGAGCACGGATTGATGGTTGGGAGTGGTGGGGGAGTCACACTGGCCGAGTGAAGAGTCGCGTCGCGAGCGCCGTGTTCGCTGCCGCTCCGTGCCACCCGGCGGCGGAGGGTCGGTGGATCACAGAGTGATGGGAGTGGTGGGGGAGTCACACTGGCTGAGTGAAGAGTCGCGTCGCGAGCGCCGCGTTCGCTGCCGCTCCGTGCCGCCCGGCGGTTGCCGACGCGGCGGCGTTGGTGTCGGCCACCGCCCCCTCCAGCTTCTCGCACGACGTCACACCGTCGGCTGAGGGCAAAGCAACAGCGGCACGACATGAGCATCGCTACCACGGCAACGTTGGGCGTGAGCATCGCTACCATGGCAACGTTGGGCGTGAGCATCGCTACCATGGCAACGTTGGGCGTGAGCATCGCTACCACGGCAACGTTGGGCGTGAGCATCGCTACCACGGAAACGTTGGGCGTGAGCATCGCTACCACGGCAACGTTGGGCATGAGCATCGTTACCATGACAACGTTGGACATGAGCATCGCTACCATGGCAACATTGGGCGTGAGCATCGCTACCACGGCAGCGTTGGGCATGAGCATCGCTACCACGGCAACGTTGGGCGTGAGCATCGTTACCACGGCAACGTTGGGCGTGAGCATCGCTACCACGGCAGCGTTGGGCATGAGCATCGCTACCACGGCAACGTTGGGCGTGAGCATCGCTACCACGGCAATGTTGGACATGAGCATCGTTACCACGGCAACGTTGGGCATGAGCATCGCTACCACGGCAACGTTGGGCATGAGCATCGTTACCACGGCAACGTTGGGCGTGAGCATCGCTACCACGGCAGCGTTGGGCATGAGCATCGCTACCACGGCAACGTTGGGCATGAGCATCGCTACCACGGCAATGTTGGACATGAGCATCGTTACCACGGCAGCGTTGGGCATGAGCATCGCTACCACGGCAACGTTGGGCATGAGCATCGCTACCACGGCAACGTTGGGCATGAGCATCGTTACCACGACAACGTTGGACATGAGCATCGCTACCACGGCAACGTTGGGCATGAGCATCGCTACCACGGCAATGTTGGACATGAGCATCGTTACCACGGCAACGTTGGGCATAAGCATCGCTACCACGGCAACGTTGGGCATGAGCATCGCTACCACGGCAACGTTGGGCATGAGCATCGCTACCACGGCAACGTTGGACATGAGCATCCCTACCACGGCAACGTTGGGCATGAGCATCGTTACCACGGCAACGTTGGGCACGTTGCACAGGGCAGCGGCGCGGTGGTGACACTCTTGTCTCGCAGCCCGAAGGGCCCTGGGTTCGATGACCGACTTGAGCACCTTTCTACGTGGAGTATGTGTGTCTCCCCCCCCCCCCCCCACCTGTTATGTAAAGTGCGATTGTGAGTTAGAGAGTGAGTGAGTGGAGTTTGTATGTTAGCCACCTGTTCTGCATGGAGTTTCCTCCATGGTAACTGGTATTGGCCAAACGTCCCCCAAAAATTGCCTGCAAACGACTCAATTGGGATTACGAATTGCCACATCGCCTCCCCTCCCTACTGTGAAATGGCAGGACAACTCAGAACAAAAACATCTTGGGTGTTAACAAGCACAATAATGATTGTTATCGTAAAATAAGTAATATTAATTAAAAATAATCTCCCAACACGACGAAATGAAACGAAAACGTAATGGCGCTTGGGCAAGCGGCAGAGCGATGAGATGAGTTCCTGTGCAGGTGCTCGATGACTCGTTACGTCGTCACAGGACCGTGAGAGGTGGCAGCTTGGGGAGGCTTTCATCCCGCAGTGGACTGAACACGGCTGGTGGCGGTGATGACGTCACTGCGAGCGCGGCGTGGGTCAGCGCACGTCGCGATGACCGTACGGGGCCACGGTCGCGAGTACGCGATTGGCGCGCGGAGTGTCACGTTTAAATCCGTCTCCGCTCCCCTCCGCTTCGTGCAAACCTCGGCAAGGTACCCCCCCCCCCCCGCCCGCTGTCTCACAAACCCCATCCCTCACCACCTCCCCTCCCACCGTGTGATAATTCCAAAACGCCAACTCGAGCAGGTTGGGCGTCGGGCGGCACGCCGCTGCTACTTTCGCAGAGTTGGTTTAGCACCAATTACGTTTCTCATTTTCACCCGCGGGCAGCCGCACAAACACAGCGTTAGCACTCACGCGCGCGCACACTCCCACACGCGCACACACCTATGCAGACACGCGTGAAGACGACAGTTTGCACCGGGGTTGGGTGTCACGACAGCCAACTTGAGCAATGCCTGTTCGGGTCGGCGCTGCGCACTGCGTGGCGGTGGACACTGACGCTACGGGTGAACTCCCACGTGCCCAGGGGTTCGAATTCGGTAGGAAACAAACAAAAAAGCCCCTCGATATTTCAAGAGCCGCCATTGCGCGTGAATACGAGACGGTGGACCTTAATAACTAACGTCACGAAGCAGTCCTTAAAGAGCCGAATGCGGCTGGGGACCCTTCCCCGATTACTTTTCTAACGCGACCGCCACGGTTTGCTCGCCCCATGAGCTTCACTCGTTGATTCCTCAACCAGCGGTGACGCTCGACTGGACGCTGACCTGTTTCGTCCCGTCCTGCACACTCAACCACCCACACACGCAAAGATCACCCCCTATAGCCTTGGACCGACTTGTTTTAGGGCAAGTGCTGTTAGGGAACACTCATGAAGGCTGGCACGGCACACGAGGGGGTGGGTGGCCAGCAACACGCCCGGCTGCCTTTGTCTTCCCTTCCTTATGGCGATGTTTAGACACCTCGCCAAGGACTCATTTGAAGCTGAGTCGACCTAGGGGAGGCCCAAGACCGGTTCAGATAATCGGGTTTGTAGCACAGTGCACTAACCACTGCACTACTGCTCAACTAGTCACACCCACTCACTCCTACATACACACAGTCACTCTCCCACTCTCCCACTCACACACTCACACACTCACTCACTCCTACATACACACAGTCACTCTCCCACTCACCCACACACTCACTCACCCACACACTCACCCACTCACTCACTCACCCACACACTCACCCACTCACTCACCCACTCACTCACCAACACACTCACACACACACTCACCCACTCACTCACCCACCCACTCACTCACTCACCAACACACTCACTCACACACACACTCACCCACTCACTCACCCACTCACTCACACACTCACTCACACACTCACTCGTGCATACATACACTCACTCACTCACCCACCCACTCACCCACTCTCCCACTCACCCACTCACTCTACTGCAGGTCAATACACTTCTCTACGGCTTCTTCCCTTGCACTGATCCACTTAAAAATTCCTTCCCATCACCTAAGTCCTTACAACCTTGCTCAAATGTATTCACCCTTGTCCATTACACCTTCGATAGTGCTGCACGTTGCTGGCCGTTTGGCGTTTCGTGCCTCTGGGTCGATGACTCAGCAACTGCGTTCGTGTAAACAAAATAAAGTCGACTCAACATTAAATGGTGATCATCAACTCGGCCTTCAATGAGCAACGAGCGGAGCAGCGGACTTCAGCACTGGGGAGACAAACAGAGTGGCGCTGGCCACCCACCACCTCGTTCACCTTGCCGGCCTTAATAGGTGCTCGCTAACTGAACACTTGCCAGTAGCGTAACTCGCATGGGGAGCGGTGGTGTAACGGTTAGCGCTGTGCTGCGTTACGAACTCAGCGACCCGGGTTCAATTCCCGCTCACGGCCAACACCGGTGACGGGTATCTGAACCGGTCCCGGGCCTCCCCTAGGTCGACTGCGATGTGTAAACATCGCCACTGTGGAGACAAAGGCGGCCAGGCGTGGTGTTGGCCACCCACCCCCTCGTTCGCCTTGCCGACCTTAATAGGTGCTCGCTAACAGCACTTGCCCCTACAGTCTGTGAAAGCTATACGGGGGATCTTTGTCTTTTGCCAGTAGCGTAACTAGCATGGGGACAGGGGGTACCTAGCCCCCCCCCCCGCCTGGTGACCAAAGTTCCGAGTTGGGCCACCCCCCCCCCAGCCCCACGATCACCACCTTGGGAGACAAATCAAACACTGGGGCCTCGGTGTTTGATTTGACCGAGCTGACGATGCCGTGACTACGCCGCTGGTGCCTGCGTGCGACGACGGCTCGGCTTTCAAAACGTCACCGGAGAGTCCCCCTCCCACCACCACCGCCACGTCCGCCGCCGCACCCCCCATCCCACCGTGGCGCATTCCTCGGTTCCTCGGGAGCCGTCCTCCCCTCGCCAGGAGTGCGCGAGCTTTCGTGCCGCTTCGCTCGGCTCTCGACGCGTTCAGGGAGACTCTGGGGGCGTCTGTCGTGCGGCGGGGTGGAGGGGGGGTACGGTGCCTCGCTTTCCCAGCCACACCGGATCGAGGCCGCGACGCGCGCGGCTCAAAAGCAACGAGGGCCGTCGCTGATTCCTTGAGCCCAACGATTTGCTTGGTTTGACGATCGTCGTCAAACCGCTGCCCGGTGAAGGCCTCCCCGCGACTGGCCGATTGACCGTACTTCACCGAGCAGGTCAATGTGTGTGTGTGGGATGAGGTGGCAGCAGCTGAATCGAACTCAGGCGGGCCGGGCTCACTGCGCTAACCGGCGTCGCCACAGCGGCTCACCCGCGCCGTGTCCGTGCGTCGTGACGTCCGCGCGGCGAGCCGTGGTCGCCCCGTGCGTGTTGATCGCCAGCATCCGGTCCACCTGGCCCGAGAGGCCGAGGCTCTGGACCGTGCCGTGCAGGAGGGCGGCGTCTGCGGCACAACAGCAGTGTCAGTAACAGCAGTGTCAGCAGCAGTGTGAGCAGCAGCAGCAGCAGTGTCAGCAGCAGTAGCAGCAGTGTGAGCAGCAGCAGCAGTGTCAGCAGCAGTAGCAGCAGTGTCAGCAGCAGTAGCAGCAGTAGCAGCAGGGGTAGTAGCAGCAGTGTCAGGAACAGAACAGCGGTGTCAGCAGCAGTAGTAGCAGTGTCAGCAGCAGTAGCAGTGTCAGCAGTAGCAGCAGTGTCAGGAACAGAACAGCAGTGTCAGCAGCAGTAGCAGCAGTGTCAGCATCAGAACAGCAGTGTCAGCAGCAGCAGTGTCAGCAGCAGTAGTAGCAGCAGCAGCAGTGTCAGCAGCAGCAGCAGCAGTGTCAGCAGTAGCAGTGCAGTAACAGCAGTAGTTGCAGCAGTATCAGCAATGTCAGCAGCAGTAGCAGCAATGTCAGCAGCAGTAGCAGCAATGCCAGCAGTAACAGCAGTGTCAACAGCAGCAGAACAGTAGGAACAGCAGAAACAATAGCAGCAATAATGCAAAAATAATCTTTTCAAGTTTTAATGCACCGCGAGACAACATCCGCTCACTCTCGTAGAGAGAGAATGACCCAGAGGCACGAGCAACCACAGACACGCGGGAAGGCAGCAGCTGCTGGATAAGCCGGCACCAATATTTTCCCAAGCTCTGCGATCCTCTATATATGTTAAATCGTTCTTGGCCAAAAGGTGTGAATATAAAAAAAAAGTGGTGACAACCGAGCTCACTATATCCCTCCATGAAATTCCCGAGCATCATCGACTACACGTGCCTGCTAACCAGCGGTAGACACCTCTGAAGTGTAACCACTGCTAGATGAAGCCCGGTCTGCCGTCGGGATTTGTTTGGCCACACGTCACCGCACCGGTCCGTGTGGGCGAGGGAAGCGAGCTCGGACGTCGCTTGCCGCCGACGTCCGGTTAGTCATGCTCAGTTCTGTTCGCTCTCCACTTAGTCGTGCCTGGCGGCTTCCGGGATGAAGCGAATAAACATCGACCGGCCTACGTCAGACGTCTGAGCTGGTTGGCGTCAAGAACCGTCGAGGCCAGTGGCGGCCGCCGCTGCTGTACAATGAGCTGCTCAGTTCGGTTCCTGGAGAAGCTCCCAGCACGTGGGGTGAAACGTCGGACATGCGCGGAATGGCTCAAAAACAACAGCCACAACCGCTAAGACGGCCTCTTCACCGCCCATGCGCTCTGTTTGCCTCGCAGATGATGTCTCACGTCTGTTTGTGTCCCCTCGTTGTCTCTGTGTTGCAGTCTCTGTGGCGTTGTCTCTGTGTCGTTGTCTCTGTGGTGTTGTCCGGTGTCCCCTCGCTGTCTCTCTGTGTGGCCCTGCTCACCAGCCATCTGCAGGGCGGGTGTCTGAGCGAGTCGGCACAGTCCGGTGAGCCGGGCCTGCAGCTCCCTCTGGACGGCGCCCACCACCTCGCCGAGCAGCCCGGCCCTCGCCACGCCTCGCCAGAACCGCAGCACGTGGTCTAGGGGCAGCGGCACGCGGGGGGACGCCTCCGTTAGGCAACGCACGCCATCGGCAGGCCTAGGCCTCGGCAAGGCAAGGTAAAAGTTAAAAGGTAAAAACAACGAGCCTATTTTTACCCTACCCTTTACCTTACCCCTTGGCATGTCGACATCTTTACCCTTCACCTTTACCCTTTTACCCGGTAAAAAGGGTAAATTACCTTTCCTTGCCGAGGCCTAGTCAGACCTTTCAAAATGTTCAGGCGCAGCGCTGAGACTGCTTGCTCATGCCACGGCTGGGCGGAAGATGTGTGTCAGTGTAGAAGAGTAGGCCAAATATCCCCCACAGTGGCTCTTCATAGCTCCCTCTGTCGCTAGCTATTAGCGTTATTATTAAGCGTCTTCGGGACTTTCTCTTCTGCCATTTCAATTCAATTCGGTGTGTATTTGTTACACAGAAAATACCATTTAGCCAGCAACCCAGCTAGTTCGGTGACAATAGGCCTGCAGCCACGAACAACAACAACAATGATAATTGGTTTTTTACCCTTTTATCTGGCAACAAAACTGACACCTTTTTTACAAGGAGTCATGTTTGCATTGACCACAATACCTGCGGTCGGAATGCAAACAAAAAACACAACTCTGATAATGTATGCACTGTCCTTGAAATTGATTGGTCCACACACGAGACAGCTTTTCTTCGAGAATAGTCTCACATGGTGTTGGACCAGATGACGCCAAAAGGCACACGTAAAAGGTGTCAGTTTTGTTGTCAGATAAAAGGGTAAAACAACAACAATTTTAAATGAACCGTGTGAGTCTTCTGTATTCATTACTACCACCTCTTCAGTGTCGCTATCCATTGACTTTAGAACTTTCAATTCAATGTTTATACGTTACATGGAAAATCCCGTTTAGCCAGTTACCCAGTTAGTTTCGGTGGCAACGGCCCGCAGCTGCTAACAACTGTTGGGGTGGAGAGGAGCACAGTCAACAGCCAGCCAGGACACTCGAGATATAGATGATTGTAACATTTTAAAACAATACAAATATTCAAAGAGGTCAAAAGCACACTGACGTCAACACCACCAACAGTCTCTATCCCTCTTTCTCCGCTCTCATAAAAGCGCCCCCCCCCCTCCTCTGGACACAAACACGAGACATGTAATGTCTCCCATGTTTGCACAAAGAGTCTCGAGACGTAGCCATATTCAGATTCCTGAATTGCATCACGCCGACACAGCACAGGGGCCGTTGCGACACCATGAGACACAGCACAGCAGCGACTTGCCGTGCTATCTTTTCACCCGGCAAACGCCTCGACCAGGCCGCAAGCAAAAGTCGACGCGGTAGCAGGTGACGATGAACGCTCGACAAACCGTGCGGTGCCGCTACCTGGCAAGTCGCTGTCCTGTTCGGATTCGGGGGAGCAGCTCTGGTCGGCCCGGTCCGCTCTGGTGGCCATCGTGAGCTTCTGTGCCCGCTCCTCCCCGGCGTGCATCCCCGCCGCTTGCCCGTTCATCATCGCGGCCGCGGCCGTCGCCGTACCCACGCCGAAGCGTCCCCTTTTGTTGCCGCCACCACCCACCAAGGCCTCCCCGCTCCGTTTGACGGCCTCCCTCGCCCTCAGCGAGCCGTCGTGCCCCGGCCGCCCGGCCGCCCGGCCCGCTCCCTCGCCCATCGCGTTCGCTCGCCTGCTCTCCTCCGACCACTCGCGCTTCACGGCGTCGCTCAGGCTGCCGTGCCCGTTGCTGTACGCCAGCCGCTGCGCCGCACCCGCCTGCTGCTGCTCCTGATGCTGCTGCTGCAGCTGCTGCAGCTGCTGCAGCTGCTGTTGCTGCTGCTGCTGCTGTTGCTGCTTGTGGCCACCGACGTTGAGGGCTGTAGCGTCCTCGCCCGCTTTGCTCGCGCGCTGCTTGATGACGCCCCTGCGCTGGTGCTGCCCGCAGCCGCTCACGACGTAGCGGCGGTCGCCCTTCAAGAAGCTGCCCGGCCAGCCGGAGGGCCGCCCTCCACCGGGCCACAGGGACGCGGCGGCGGCAGCGGTGGCGGCGCCCCCCCCGGGGCCGCCCAGGCCACGGGGCTCGTGCTTGGTGCTGCGGCAGCTGGAGGAGCAGGCGGTGTCGTGCTGGTAGAAGTCCAGCCGTCCGGCATCCATCACCTTCCTGAGGGACGAGCGGGGTGCACGAGGGGGGCCAGCGGCCGGCAGCCAGGCGTGAGCGAGCAAAAGCGCAAAACTATTATAAAGATTAAACAAAAACAATTTTTAGTTTACCAGGTAAGGCCCGCTGAGCTATATCGCTCTTTTTTGAGAAGCGACCCGGCCACCACAAATGGTAGGTCAACTACTCTGAGCGCATCGCGTTGATTTTCTAAATGTGGAGTGGAAAACCGGAGGATCCGGAGGAAAAAAATGTGCAAGACTATGGGGAGAACACGCAAACTCCAAGTATTCAGCCGACAGGGTCAGGATCGAACCCACGACCTCCTGTGTGCCAGGCAAGCAGCTATAGCAACTCACCCGGATTATCGATAAAAATAGGGGGTGATTCAAATGACGGCTCAAATTACCGTTGCGTTCATGTAACGAGCTAATGAGCAAAAAAAATACAAATAAAATACATCTAATGCTTTAATATAGTGTCGTTTATAAAAATTGCATCTCACAATCGCTGAGTACACAGACCAAGCTGGAATGCTGCCGGGTAGAGAGCCGGTGACAATAATTGCTCTGCAGCCAATTAGGGAGCGTCTATTATACTTGTGAGAGCAAACCGGAGCGCCTGCATAAAACGTACACATGCGAGGGGGCAACACTCTATCCCATACAGACAGGTGATATGAGTCCACGTCGCATTCTCCCGGTGAGTAAGGGCACGGAATCTCCTCGACTCCCACCACAGGGAGGTAGTTTCGCAACGTCTGTGTGATCCACCACCCCTCGCTGCGTCTACACCGCTCGATTACAGGCCACATGCACAGCCACCACCCCCTGGATAATCAAATATTTCTGATCGCTATCTTGTTCCGAACTATCGTCTCTCACGTCACCTCATCTATATTGTGTCTGCATCTAAGTCATCTCGCTACGTCTATATCTCTTGTCTAAATCCCTTCTTGAAGAGGAGTTGAACCCACGATGTTAAAATGCAGGCGCCGTAACCAGTGCCACCTTGCGAGGTTCTTGGTGTTTGTTTCTGGTGGCAGGGTGCGCTGTAGGTTTCAGAACCAGAATCAGAATATATATTTATATACTGGAGGGATCCGATGAGCGACACATTTATTTTTCACAGATGTCCAGCAGGTTTGCCTGGCATGGTGGCGCGTGCCTGTGATCCATCACTATGGAGGCAAGGGCTGGAGGATCACCGAGTCTTGCCAACCTCCATAATCGGCTGGGCCATGGTGTCGAGTCATGGCGTCTAGTCACGCAATCCAGTTAACTTCTACGCCCACGAAATGTAATGCGTTTTTTTTTTTTATTATATCACGTAAATTTATAAATGTGTCGCTAAACCCGCCACCACCCGACACGGCCAATTAGTAAGGTTTGTCGCGCAAACAGAAGGTGCCGCAACATTTACAATTCGAGTACCGCGACGTTTCGCCGGTAGCTCTCTTCAGGCGGCAGCCAAAGTTGTGGAGACATTGCCCCGTCCTGTTTCGGTCTCATGGGTAATATTAATCGCAATAAACCTACGTGTTAAATTGCCTGCGGTACACCTGTCAAATCCCTGCGCGTGAGAAACAATGAGTTGCCACGTTTTGCATGAAGGTGGATGAATGAGTCTAAATGTTACATTTAAGTGAATGCAAAAAAAACTAAAAAAATTGACAAATAAGAGAGACGGTGAAGGCGCGGGCGACCTTCATCCAGCAGTGGATAGACCATGGCCAACGTTGATGATGATGACGACAATGCTAACATTACATTTAGACCACGGGAGCAAACAAGTCTGTACAAAACATACACAGAAGCCAAGAATGAATGGAAATGGGACGGTAACTAAAAAGAGAATCGAATCGCAACCCCGAATTACAACGATTCGTAGGATCGTTTGCTGGGAGAGGGCGTGACTGATTTCTGAGCTGAGTGTCTTCATTCAATCCATTTATACAATGTTGAGCCAGGCTGGCCAGGATTGGGCAAAGGCGATTCACCAATTTTCACCCAGGAGGGCACGGACCTATTTATTAACGCATCGCTAAAAGAGCAAACAAATACCTATGAGTGTGTCCTAATAGTTACGAACGCACGAGTGAAAAAAATTAACAAATAGAGAGCAAAGTCACGTAGGTAAAAAAATAATAAAAGTAAAATAATAATAAATGAAAATAAATCAATTTAATTGATTTATTGTGATTTTATTTACTTACTTTCATTTATTATTATTTTACTTTTATTATTTTTTACCTACGTGACTTTACCGAACAAACCTAAGAGTATGAATCCTTGCAGTCACGAAATATTCAAATCTAGAAATAGAGAGCAGTTGGACACGAGCAGAAAAAAAATTGACCGACAAAAAAAACCCGCAGCAAAACAACAACAACAAAGCGAAGAGCTTGGCTCGCCGACCTGAGCATGACCCCTCCGAGGCGGATGGCCCTCTTCCAGTCCTTGAGGCTCGCGCGCCCGGCCAGACACACGAACTCCTTGGGGGTGATGAGCTCCTCCTTAACCTGCGCAGACAAAACACGGTTGGAGTGTGGGGGGTTAGGGGGTGGGGGGGGTCTGCGTCGTGAACCCGCGTCGCTCTCCAAAAAGAGGGACGCCACCGAAGACGCAAGACGGCGCGACGCCTCCTTGCTGTCACCCCCCCCCCCCCACCACCATCACCACCACCACCACCGTGCGCGAGCCGTGACGTCGTAGCGATACGCCAATGCTCCCTCGCCCCCCGCACAGATTGGCAAAAGCCGTCACAATTTTGGGAAGGTTGGGAAAGGGGGGGGGGCGATTCGATTTCAGAATCTGATAGTTTTTTTTTTTACCACAACAACAAACGCGAGCCCCATACAACACGCCGAAAGAGATCTCGGTGATGGGACCCGCGCGAAAAGAAGGGGGGGGGGGTGGTAGATGGGGTGGTAGATGGGGTGGTAGATGGGGTGGTAGACGAGGTGTAGGGCCCCATGCTACCCTGGCTTTGTGGGGGACCTCGCGTTGTTCGGTATCGTTTTTGAACGGCCCCCATTCGCATCGTTCCTGGCTTGTTGAGACTCGTCCGTACAGGTCAGGCTTGTCTACCGTTTTGGGCGAGCGTGTCACGTCAGCGTGTGATTTGCATATCAATCTGCATCCATCACCTTTCCTGCACTGTCGTATTTTTTGCATTGTTTGTGGTTGTAACTTTCTGAACCCGCCCCCTACCAGACATCTGTGAAAAAGATCTTCATAGCTGATCGGATTGGTCCAGTACACATACATATTCTGATTGTGTTTAAGCAGTTCTGAACCTGCACGAATCGATGCATCAGAATCCAGTTTCGATCGATTAAACGGTGCTTCTCGCCAACCCCACGACCCAGGCCGTGTGTCCCGGGCTTGTCTTGACGTAAGTTTGAATCTTCGTCACGTTCTCACGTACAGCCTTGAGAAAGCATCAATATTATTTCCACACGGTAAGTAAGGGCTCTATCTTTGCAGTGATTGTTCCTGATTTTCTAAACTCATGCTGGACACCCCATGATACAGCATCTTAGGCACACATCCAGAGGATCGGAGCTGCTAACGTCTATGAGATGGTGGTCATCATCGTCAGTGCGCCATCCGTTGTGATACATCTCCGCGCCGTGGCACGGCAGGCCTCAGTCGCCACAGAAGCCATCGAAGGAAAGCAATTGCATACGAGCACTGCTCGTTGCGGTACAACGTCGCGCGTCCGAGTCGATGGGGACTGAGGTACAGGGCGGAGATGTGAAAAGGTCAGACACGTGTGAACGTCTCGTAGGAAACGACGGCTGCACACGTACTGCTCTGTACCGCTCTGGGCGAAGCCGGTTGATTGGTGATGGCCAGATTTGCGATGGTCAGATGTGCGATGTTGTACTTTGTTAATCTCTGATGTGGTAAATTTTTGTTGGTGTATGTACCTTTTGTTATTCTACCATTTCTTGACTCGTTTATTCATGTTTATTTTCTGAGGGTTTAATTGAATGAATAATTGCCATACATAGAATGTAGCCCTGAATGTAATTATGCATATGATTGTCGCGCGGCATTGTGAGATGCAATGAGCATGAGTGACTCTCTATAAAACGTAAATGATTCATTTTATTATCCTTTTAGCTTGCTGTCTTTGCACGCATGGGAAGATTGGAGATGTTTGTGTTTCAGGTGTCATCTTCCTGCGTGCCACAAACACTGAAATATCAAACCCTCCGCGGCACGCGGCAGATGGCACCTCCACTCCGCATCGTGCCTCTGAAATATCCGCCCTGGCATTTGATCAGACGGTGTTGTAAATCCGCTGGAAGAAATAAAAACGACAACACTGCACAACATTCTTTTCACGATTGTTTGCGCCAGACGCTGAAAATTCGGCAAAACGAACGTTCGTGTAATGATCGCGAGAGCGCGGCAGTTCTAAGTTGGCCGTCGGTTCTAAGTTGGCCGTCAGCGATGTGTGCGTGGTTTTGCTGTTCTAAACACAGTCGCTGAGCACAAGGCCCAAAGGTCCACAACACCGAGTGGCCAGCAGCAAACAGCAACTTTCAAAGCTGTAATAGATAAAGAGCGTGGTATGTGCTTCTTGAATAGAGCAAGGTTAGTGTTGTTAGAAGAGGTTCGGGAAAAGAGAGGATGGGAGAGGGAATTTTAAAGTGGAGCAGAACGAGGGAAGAAGCAGAAAGAGAGGCGTTGTGACCTGCAGTGTGGTGAGTGGGTGGGTGGGTGAGTGAGTGGGTGGGTGGGTGAGTGGGTTAGTAAGTGGGTGGGTGGGTGAGTGGGTGGGTGAGTGGGTGAGTAGATTGATGAGTGGATGAGTGAGTGTGTGTGTTGTGACCTGCAGTGTGGTGAGTGGTTGAGTGAGTGGGTGAGTGGGGGAGTGAATTAGTGAGTGGATGAGTGGGTGAGTGAGTGTGTGTGTTGTGACCTGCAGTGTGGTGAGTGGGTGAGTGAGTGGGTGAATGGGGGAGTGGATTAATGAGTGGATGAATGAGTGTGTTGTTGTGACCTGCAGTGTGGTGAGTGGGTGGGTGAGTGGGGGAGTGGGTTAGTGAGTGGATGAGTGAGTGTGTTGTTGTGACCTGCAGTGTGGTAGCCGAGTGAGTGAGTGGGTGAGTGAGTGAGTTAGTGAGTGAGTGGTTGAGTGAGTGGGTGAGTGGTTGAGTGAGTGAGTGGGTGTGTTGTTGTGATCTGCAGTGTGGTAGCCGAGTGAGTGAGTGGTTGAGTGAGTGGTTGAGTGAGCGTGTTGTTGTGATCGGCAGTGCTGTGGTTGAACACAGGGCATGCATCGAACCGTGCGTGTAGGAAACAATTATTTTCAGCTCGTAGATATGTTGCATGGTCTGCAATGGGTTCATGTGACACCAGCCACCACTATATTCACCACAATAGAGAAAAGAATAATGAATTATGGAGTCAAATTGCCAACCTCAAAACCGTAAAAAAGTCTTGACATCGTGGGGAGCGTGAATCGACCCAAGAACAATTCAGCTTTAATGGAACCCAATTAGTTAATAACCGAGAAATGTTTTCCTGTTAATTAACTTAAAACAGTGACTATGAATGTCACAACGTGCATATGAAGTTGGTTAAACTCTACAGTTTAACACGATAATATTGGCTCCTTGCTGCGTAGTGGTGGCATGGTAATTGGCGCACTACTCTGCACAATTCGGCAACCTGAGTTCAATTCGTGGCCACGGCTAATCCTTCACTAACCTGCACTGATCAGCGGGGGTGAAGCACAGTCAGCCAAACTACCGTCATGACCGGCATGGCGTGGACAGGCCTTCATCCACCAGTGGATTGACATTAAATGTTGGGCCTTGAAGTTCAAAGGTTGAATTACGTTTCATTGTCCTATAACTTTATGACGATCAACCTGGTACCAATGGAACTGCAATTGTAAGTATTTGTTCATTTATGTAGGAGCAGTGGCTTTGATACCGCCAATCTATAAAACTATAAACTATTTTTATTTTACCAGGTAAGGCCCACTGAGCTATAGAGCTATATAGCTCGTTTTCAGAAGTGCCTTGGCCACAAATGATAGCTCAACGAAGTGGCTTATCACATGAAAACTTATAGTAGCCAAATATGAATATTTCTAAATTTAGAGGGAATAATCAGTGGACCCAGAGAAAAATCCACACAACCACAGGGAGAGAGAGAACATGCAAACTCCTAATATGCAGGCATCAGGGTTGGGATCGAACCCATGCCCTCCAACATACCAGGCGAGATAGTTAACATCTCACAACCATGGAACCCAATCATAGCCAAAGGTCCCCTATTTAGCCTTAAACACTCTTGTCATTGCTGTTAGAGAGTGCCTATTAAAGCCGGCATGCCAGAGTGTGTACCATGAGCAAGCCTGGCCGACTCTGTCTCACCAGCGCTGATGTTTTACAAACTGCGCCAGGTTTCATGCTCAATCGGGAGGCTGGAGTCAACCATTGGCCCAGGGAGGGGTCCAGAAAGCGCTCGTCCACTCACGTCCACGGAACACACACCGCCCGGATCGGAGTGGCCGTGTGCGATCCGCTGCGCCACCGACTCAACGTGGCCGTTCCGCAGCATTGAGGAGTGGGGGCCCCAAGCTGAAGGAATCTGAGCCCCACCCCCAACCCTGCTGAAGGCTCAGCCCCCCTTTGAAACTTTGACCGTACGGTGAGTCCTTGCTTATCGCGCGGCGTTCACACTATAACGCGGTTCCTCCATTGGGGAATGCTTTTCGGACAATGCGGAATGCGCGCCGCCGTTACAACGCGTAACGCGCCCGTTAATACAACGCGGCTTCTGAGTGGTCGTTGAGGGAGTACAGTACGCGGGATGATACAGAAACGCGGCAGCATACCCTCGGCTATCTGTCGCGCCGCCTTGACGTGTGCGCGTCGTTCATCGTTTCTCGCCAAACTTGTTCGGTGCGTTATTATTTATGGGGACTTCTTTTTCATTCAACGCATTTGTCGCTCAACACGGCACTTTTCAGGAACACATCTACTACTACCGCGTTCAACGGGGACTTCCTGTGCAGGGATGATGATGATGCGGTCCGTTTTGAACCGACGTGCCCTCTGCTGAGTCTACGTAAAAAAGTCACGCGGCACGGCTGGTCCGCGGGTGCGATGCTATCAGAATTCACGATCATAACATAATAACGGACGCTTCCACACAGGCTGCAAAACCCGCCTAGCATTGTGCGTGGCTCACTCACCAGACAACCACACCTCCCGTGCCCCCCCCCAAACCCCGCCATGCCTCCCCTCCTTCCCCCTCCGTGGTTCAGCTCCCCGTTCTTCCCAGCCACAACCGCAGCATCATGGCCGGAAACACGGCCTCGGCTTCCTTCCCCTGCGCCTTTGTTGTGAGCACAGAGGCGGCCCTCTGCGCAGACTGAGGGCGGCGGTGGGTGAGCAAGCAGAGAGTCCAAAACCAAAGTTGTCGTCGTGAACTGTCCCCCGCTCGACTAGATTGTCACGTTTGACGAAGATGTTAACATCATTGTCATTTA